ACACACTATCATCTTTGAAACAGTGATTCAGGTCACAGGATCAAAGCATACAAAGTGAACATTCAAACAGTGAGACTGCAAATAGTTGTGTTCAATGATCCAATCAAAAATATTAATATGGTCATCTATTTAACACACCTAAACACACTTGCTGTTGTATCCTTTTGGGCACTTTTTTTTCCCTCTCTTTATTACAACAAAATTTACACATTTTGGGTTTTATTGCTCCCATAGATCTTATTACTTTTTTTATAAGAGAATAAAATCAAACATGATAAAACAAAGCTGTCAGTCAAAACCAAGGATAGACATAGCGCATGATGTAAAAACAGAGTACAAGGTTATCAACAACGGTTACCATAATGCCTCTTGCTTCCTTAAGAAGAATTGTCCATCTCATTAGGTATTATAAAGTTGAACAAAACAGTAGAGAACACGTCCAATAAAACCTAAACATTGTAAACCTTACAGAACTTCAAAAGAGGATAATAGTCAAACCAGAATGGGCATAAAGTGAATCTTATTGCCTTCAAAGTAGTTGCTTATACTGTGATAACTTAATACTATCATACAGAGCGGAACAGAGTCTAATCAGTCAAAACAAGATAGTGGGAGTATTACAGGACTTCAAATAAAGTTAATAGGAAATCAAGAAGGTTACTATAATATATCCTGCTAGTTCTTTTGATTTCTCCCCTTAGTTTAAAAAAGAAAAAATATTAAATAATTTTTTAATGAATAAGGGAGAGGTTGAGATAAAAGAGGGCTTAACAACATAACAATACAGTTCAGAGCATGACAGTTTCAGCAACCTAGTGCTTCACCACCAAATAACCCGACTTAATAGTAGTTACCATAGTGGCAAGACCCTATCTTGAGAAATTGAAAAAATTCAATATCATATAAGCTTTTAGGTGCCAGTTTTAGATATATGTAAAATGATTAAATTAAAATGTATCAGGCCATTCATGGTAACAGTTGCCTATAATTGTAGCTTTCAGGGAGGCTGAGGAAAGAGGATCCCAAATTGGAGCCCAACCTGGGCAGTTCAGTGCTTGGTGAGACCCTGTCTCTAAATAAAAAGTTCTGGTGGTGGTGTGTAGTGGAAAGACCCTAGGATCAATCTCCAATGCTACTGTATAATTTACTTACATTACTTTTATAACATTTTTTACATCATACAATTTTTATTGAAATCTGAGAAGATTGTTTCCAGACAAAGCATTTTCTTTCCAAGATATGACTAATTTGGTTCCAATACAGCACTTGATAAATATTTAAGTCACAGCCAGGGACTCATCAAAGTGGGCTCCCAGACTGATGTAGAGGCTCATATCTGTACTCCCAAATACTCTGGAGACTGAGGCAGGAAGATTGCAAGTTCAGAGACAGCCTGGGAAATTTAGCAAAAACCTATCTCAAAAATAAAATTTCAAACCAGGTGTTGTGGTACACGCCTATAATCGCAGCATTTGGAAGGCTGAGACAGGAGGACTGTTGCAAGTTCAAGACCAACCTGGTCCACAAAGTGAGCTCAAGGCCAGCCTGAACTGCATAGCAAGACCTTATCTCAAAAAGACCAAAAAGACTATTTTAAAAGGGCGTGGGCTAGGGGCTGGGGATTTAGCTCAGTGGCGTAAATACCTACCTGGTAAGTTCATGAGTTCGATCCCTAGTACCAAAAAAGGAGCAGGGCTTGGGCTATAGCTCAGAGTGCTTGCTTAGCATACATGAAGGCCTGGACTCAGTCCCTATTACTGCAGAAAACCTCCATTGAAAGGCCCATAGGTGTGCTGTGTCATGAAGTGGTGCTGGTGTATTCATGCACTCACCCCTCCCAACTCAGCATGTACCTGCGAGGTCAGTGCCAAGCACACAGTGATAAACGAGGGGTGCGCCACTTGGTCACTGCTCTCCTCGTTTTCAGATAAGAGGGGATGCTTTAAGGCCAGACTAGAGTGAGCATTCACTAAACCTGGAATATAAATGAATAGTGGTTGCTGTTCATACCTATTCATAATCATACCCTGCCCATCTCTCCATGGTTGGGATTTCTGTTGTGCTAGCCAACAGAAACATGATGCATCTGCAAATAAAACTTTAAGCTGGGCATGGTAGCTCACGCCTGTAATCCCAGCACTCAGGAGGCTGAGGCAGGAAGATCGTTGTGAGTTCGAGAGCAGCCTGGGCTACAAAGTGAGCTCAAAGCCAGCCTGAACTGCATAGAGAGACCCTGTCTCAAAAACAAAAAAAAACCCTATAATTTTCTAGTAGCCACATTAAAAAGTATAAAGAAATATATAGATTAGTGTCATATTTGATCTACTTTAATTTCTTAAAATATTTTAACAAATAATGTTTAACTAATTTATTAATTTACTTATTGCCTTGCTGGAGATCATACCCAGGACCTTGCATATCCCTGGCAAGTTCTCTATCACTGAGCTATAACTCCAGCCCCAATATTTTTTAAATTACTAAAGAAACCTTCTTCATTCCTTCTTTTGTACAAAGACTTGTGATTTCAATGTGTGTTTCACACATACAACATATCTCCACTTGGACGAACCATGGGGCAGTGTTCCGTGGCTGTGCATGGCTGCTGGCTGCTGGCTGGACAGTGCAGGCTTATGTGCCCCAACCCCCACTTGACTGTGGATTTTTCACATTACAAGTGGACTCTGAGTAGATTCTAGAGAAGCAATGGTCTTTCTGATGTTAGGGGAAAACTACTGTATCCAGAATAGGAAAAAAAACTCCCTCTGTGCCACTGCTATCAAGTATCAGGATTTGTGGTCAAGACAAATATGGCATCCCACCAGTTTTCATTCTGAAGAGTCCCAGAGTTTGATTATGTTTGGAGACAGACCTGTACAGCTAGTGTGAAATGTACCCATGTGGGCCTCAAAAAGTTTAACCTTCCAAGCATTCAGAGCCCACCAATAAAATGACAGTTTTTCCAGGATCCTAAAAAAAATATTTCTACTCCATTTGTCCATAATATTTGTTGGATGAATGATGAAATGAGCTAATGGTCCATATATCAGTTCTCTGAAACACAAACAAAATATTTTTGGCTCTAGATTAGTGAGCCCCCTGCTCGTTTGCATGCTTGTCTTCTATTTAAAATTCATTGCCTTTTAACAAAAGAATATCCTGACTAAGTGCCTATGTCCCCTTATTTTCAAGAATATGACTTCATATAGCCTAGCATAGGGTATTTCACCACGTGCAAAGAGCTGGCTTTCCGACTCTCCATTTATGAAACCTCATCACGATTGAATCCCATCTTGGATCTGGAAAGGCAATGAATTGGAGCCAACCTGGACTTAGCCATTATCTGAACACAGATGTTAAGAGCCTCATCCTTGCGGGCAGGCCACCCCGTGCTCTCCAGTGGAAGCAGCTGGGAAGCAGGGTCTCATTAAGGGTCTATGGGATGTGCCAGTGTGCTGAGCACCAGGGAGTATCTTTCACCCTGAAGTGTGGCCACCTCTGTCTTAACTCACGGAAGAGAGACATGCACACAACCATTTAACTGCCTCATTACCAGAGGAAATGCTGTGTCCAATACTTACATCCCTTGTTCTCTGCCTTTGCTCAACATTTCATTATGTACAGAAATTTCCCTTAAAGTACCGAATTTTCATCAAGCCCATAAAGTGTTTTGTGCTTCCTTGACCTGTGTGTTATGAATGATGGATTCAGCTAGAGTCAAATTGTATTTAGCATGAATGAGCTAATGTCTAAAATCAAACTGATGAGCCAGATCATATTTGTGTGCATTTCCCCCAGTGGCATTTCTGTAATGTCTGTGACTGAGTCAAGAAAGCTGTTCTTTGTCCCTTAGTCTTTTCTGTGAAATCATTTTAAGTGAACTTTAATTCAGTTGCAGTCCTACAGAAAGCTGTTGGGCCAAGCATAAGTATTGGGTGTCTATGAGTGGCCCTTTAGAGGTCCTGACTCTGTGCAGCAGTAGTGAGGGGCAGACACAGAACCTTGTGCTAACACATAACCTGGGCTAACACATAACCGGTGAGGAGCAGATGTGCTGAGGGAAGACTGTGCAGTGTGGCTGTGAGCCAGAGCTGCCCAGAGACTTCAGACAGCCAGCCTTGCAAGGTCATCTAGGCCACAGGCAATCTCAGAACCTGAGTCTCAGACCCCAGCTTGTTCTTCCCGCTCAGTCCTGCTTTCTCTGCCAGCATGTCTTCAGAAGCATAAGGCCTCCATTTTTTCACCCAGTGCTTTCCCATAGTAAGTTGTAAAGGATGATACACTTCCTTTTCAGGCCTTTACACACATTTAATTCACTCTATCTGTGACTACATAGGAACCAACTCTAAAAGATGCCAAAAGCAGTGTGTTGCTAATTTACTGACATATCTATTAAAGCTCCAGAGAAAATCTTACTCCCTGGATCTTAAATATAGTTGAGATATTATGATGATGTTTTCTGACTTAATGCCTCCATAAATTAGATGAAATGATTATAGCACCTGTTGTCACTTCATTCTTGCCCTATCTCCACTCACTCTTATTCCTTCATTAATTCAGAATAAAAAACCACGAGACATTAATGTAGCACGTGGAGATAGGAGGGCTACGTTTTTATGGCTTCAATATGAAATCATACTTAGGATGCCTCTGCCTTTACTGGAATAGGGAAAAAAGATAAAAACCATACTCATTTCCAGTAACCTTTGTCATAACTTCAGTGGATGGTTATGAATGAGGAAACTAAGGCTCAGCACTGTCAGTGTGTCCAGCTACCCTGCAGGTGCTTGCCACAGCCAGCACATCCTGGTCTTCAACTCGGGATACAAGACTCTTTCAAGTCTTTCAAATCTGCTGGGGGTTCCGTTAAAACAGTTCCTTGACTGTTACAAGGAGACGCACTCCTAACAAACTGCAAGCAAAACCAAAAGTCCCCTCCATCACTTCAGCATCAGTACTTTTAGTTTATCACTTCACAGTCACTGTTTGGTGTTCTCTTACAGAAAGCAGCAGGCTACTGCAGCAGAAACTGTCCTTAGATGGGAACCCTAAACCTATTCATGGAACTGCAGAGAGGTCAGATGGCCCACAGTGGTCAGCTGAGCAGCCCTGGAGCCCCAGCAAGCCCAAGGCAAAAACATCTGTTAAGTCCAATGCCCCCGCAGCTCATCTTGAGATAAAACCAGATGAGCTGGCAAAGAAAAGAGGTAAAGTGATTTATTTTGCACAACTGATTCAACATGTATTACAAGCATAGAAAAGTGCAGGATGACAAAACTTGCCGAAAGGTGCTGCTGAGTGCTGAGAGGTACACCTGGAACTGCGTTCCTGGCTGTGACCCACCTGGATCCTCTGTGTCATCCAAAGCCTTGAGTATCCAGAGGCGTTTCGTCCCTTCTGCAGTAGCTCCCCTTGCAGAGTGATGAAAGTGCACCACAGACACCTTCCACCCTGATCACTGCTACACAAGAGTTTGTGCAAAAGCCCTTTGAAAAAGGGACTCATGATCCCAGAGACATAGGTTTGAGACTTGTACAGTGTGGGGACAAGTCCAGGGCCCGTGTGTCTTCTGCAGAGATGGCCTTCCCCTCTGTGTTAGAGCTTCCATATATGTAACCCTGGAAGAGGATTTTACACCAGACACTGGGTTTTTTATTTTTAAGCTTTGATACTTGGCCAGAGATAACCGTAAATTTTAGAGACTAAATCTTCTGGTTCCCAGGAGATTCAGTTCTCTTCTTTTCACTCAGCCTTGACAGTATCTGATGTCTTTGACTTTGGTGTCCCCTCCCTTTTCTGTATAGAGATATCTTTCTTCTAAGGAGCACACCCTGGTCAGGGCAAGCACAGCCCATTTGCCATCACTCTCTATAGGACCCAGTATCGATGTCAGGGAATCTGCCAAGACTGGCACCAAAAAACTCCCTGAAATATGGCTGCTGCCATCACAGGCCTGGCCCAGTTGCACTTGGCACCATCTGTTGCACTCTGCCTCATCTGTACCTGGCCCAACCCGTACGTGCCACTTTCCTTTCCAAGCCCTGCTGGCTTCTAATCACAGAGAGTAGTGTTTGTCGAGAGAACCAGCAGCTCAGATGGTCTTTAGATTCTGAGACACTATGTCCTATGACAGAGCACAAGGACCAAGCTCTTTCTGGAGAGCAGGGGAGACAGATGTGTCCCGAGCAGCACTCAAAGGCCCCAGCTCGTGGACCCTTAACCTGGACAGAACTTTTCCCATAAAAAACAGAAGATGAATTTCTGGTTTTGGTGTGTTGGTTTGTTTTATTGTGTAGCACACAAAGGATAAAGTGCTCAAAGTAATACTTTTTTTTCTTGACATCAATTTTAGGCCCAAATATTGAAAAATCAGTGAAGGATCTGCAACGCTGCACTGTTTCCCTAACCAGATACCGTGTCATGATCAAGGAGGAAGTGGACAGCTCTGTGAAGAAGATCAAGGCCGCTTTTGCTGAGTTGCACAACTGGTAAGTAGTGAGCCCAGGAGCTGCAAATCTGCGGTGCCAAGCCGTCCTCCAGTTTGTGAAAGCATCAGAGGGAAAACACTGCTTATCTAATGCAGAAACATCGCAGAACAGCTCTCCTGCAGATTTTTTAGATCTGTGAAGGCAGAAATGTATATCTTGGGAATAAAAAGGAGAAAGTATTTGAATAAGAAGAAACTCGATATACATAACTCATTGGAGTTTAAAGTTGGTCCAAAAGCTATAAAAGGCATAGAGTAAATCTTAGCAATGAGTAAAACCTCAAAAAATGACATATTGACATGAAAGCTGCTAAGAAAACAAAATAATTCCAGCATTAGCATTGTAAAATCAGAAAAGTCCTTTAATAAAAAGAAACATCTAATCTAAGCCAGCAATGAAATGCTGTTTTGGTGTCTTTAAGATCAGCACTGTGATAGAAAATGGTGTGCTGATGTGGCCTTGGTCTGCAGCTGATTTTAAGGGAAGAGTCCTGTAAGTCTGTTCATGACAACATCTAGAATGAAATGTTTGTTAGTGTAGGTTTTATTGTCAATAGAAAAATACTGTCAGTGGGTCAGTTAGGATTTTGCAGTTCCAAGTGACAGAAACTCAAGTCACACCAGTTGAAAACGAGAATTGATTGGCTGATGTGCATGAAAATTCTGTGGGACAAATTTGATTCTAAACCCAAATTTTGTTGTCTGAACTTTCCCCTCTCTCTGTCCCTCTCCCTTTTACCTTTACTCTCTTAGTATTCCCCCATCTTTCAATTCTTGCCTGGCCTCATTCTTAGGGAAACCTCTCCAGGTGACCGCAAAGACAGCCCCCTGTCCCTGAGACCTGAGAGAGGCTTTATTTCCAGTGGTTCCAGCCAACTCTGATCCCCACTGGACCACCTGTGTGTCTCTAAATTGGTCACTCATGTGAAAGGGACTCCAGCAGGCCACAGCCATGTGCTTAAACAGAATTAGAACTCATGTGAAATGCCATGGACCTGGAGTTTCCTCTCCAGAGGGCCTAGAGGTGCACACACCAAAGAAAGAGGAAGTGTGTGAGCAGGGAAGCTGTACCTACACTGCCAGGCCAGATGGTATGTGCCCTCCACCTTCTCAGCCTCCTGTGATTCTTGAAAGTGATCACATCTTTCAGATGTTTTCCTGTTCCAAGTTCTTGCTTTGACACTGATGAGCTTTTTAGCAGAAACTGTGAGATTGTATAAAACTCAAGATTAAGCTTTCCACTAACTTAATCTAAAATTCATGAATGTTAAGCCATCTGCTACATTTAACATCTTCAGGGTGCAAGAGACATCAGGGACTTTAAAGACTCTCTGCTTCCATTGCACCCAGATACTCTGATGGGGTACCCTGTGCCCACACCACAGCACAGGCCGAAAGCATCCAGGGACAGTGCAGAAGCCACTGGCCAGGGATTCTCAGGGCCACGGCCTGCCTGCCCATCAGGAGGCACTAGCTAGTACCTTGGAGCCACACACTGTGTCCTGTCCGTCATGTGGCCCACAAGCAGAAGCCTTCCTCATAGGCCTCCGTGACAGCCCACCGGGTGACTCACGCCTGACTGCCCTGAGCACAGTGGCCTCAGAGCTTGTGCACCCCACCTCACCTCCCATGCTCCCAGTGCTTTCAGTTTTACTCCATTGTTCCACCGCGTAGTAAGTGGACAGTGTGCATTCCAGGACAGCAGAGATTCACAGCAGTCCCTCAGAGGTCTCACCCAGTGCTGTAAGCCCAGGGCTGGAAGTGGCATCTGTGGAATCCTTGCATTCTCTCCCCTCCATGGCAAGTGTCACCTCTGAATGAGATACGCCAGGCTGTGCTGCCATTCAGGTCGCTGTGCAGTGGAACGTGCTTCATCCCCACTGGTTGTGGCCATTCTCTGTACATGGCTGCAAAAGGAGTCAACGCCGGCACTTGTTTTCTCATCTAAAATGTTCTCTGATCTGATGATACCACAGTAGTTGCATAAGTGTTAGCTTAAAAATAAACCCAAAGTGCTTTTTTAAGTCATCCATTTACATGCATTTCTGCCAAATGGAAAACTGCCTCTGCTCCAAGTCAGCCATGATGACACACTGGAACAAAGCCGCCTCTTGTTTTCCAAGGGGAGGGAAGGGTGCATTTTAGGAAGTGTAGTGCTCTTGAAACATGTCAGCATGTAGCATCGAGGAAGGCAGCCTGGAAGTGCTTTGAAAAACTCTCCTCTATTGATTAAATTCCGCACTCAAGGCCTGAGAGGGAACTGTGAAGGTTCCCTGAGGCAAGCTCAGGGTCACATCAAGGGAAAGAGGGCCAGATGCAGAAGGCATGGGCGAGACCTCTGGCTCCCAGGCAGGGTGCCGCCCTGTGCCTGTGGCAGCATAGAAGGTGTAGTCCCCTCCCAGGGCCACCTTTCCTGTTCTGCGGGCCACTGCTCTCAGCCCCCGGTGATTCAGTAGCTTCGTCACTGGTGAGAAATTCAAAACATTCTTTGCTTCCAAAGGCCAGCTTGAGGACATGAGTGCTGCTCAACTAATCCCTGACCCCTCAGGTCTGCTGGAATGCCTGGGAATCATGGTTTCCAGAAGTTGGAGAAGCCAAGTAAGCACACCCCTGGGTGAGGGGTCTGATGTTTCTCCCTCAGCTGGGCTGTGACCGTTACCAAAGGAAGCCGTTAAGTAGCTAACACATGAAGTCTGCCTTGGCATTTGACCAATTCGACTGGTTACCCCGGGCTAAATGACCATAGCACAGAGCCACCTCAGCCTCCCAGAGCAACTGGAGACATTCGAGGGCAGCCAAGACAACTGCGCTCTCACAGTGCGTCTGAATGGAAAATAAACTTGGCGGCGTGAGCATGAAAAGTCCCATCAGGAACTAACGTGAAACAGCTGTTTTCTTTTCTGTGCATTTGGCTTCCTACCGCAACTGGAAAATATTCATCCTTGGAATCATAGCTTGCCAAATTTAATTGCTTTGTGTGCGAACTAGTCTGGCCTCTAGTCACAAATTAGTGTCTGTGGGTCCAAGTTGATTGTGAAGGCTTAAAATGAACACTAAAACATGAAATTTAAAAACCTTGAGGAAGTATAATAATACTTGATATTTCTTCCATATTCTCAGGAAGGAAGTGTTCCAAAATAGAGCTGTAAAAATTCTATTAAGTGCGATTGTCAATGTGACACCTGTGGCGAGCCTGCTGAGGCCAGTCCGGGGCCAGGGGACAGTGCCACATGCAGCAGGACAGGCGGGTGACAGAGATAGAGCGGAAGGGAAACAGGCGCCTTCAAATGGGAAACAGAAGACAGTCAAAGTACGTTGTATAGAAAGGGACCAGAAAGGCCCTTTACCTTGTGTTTTTCCAGCCATGGTGCTGGGCCAAACCTGGCCCAGGCAGAATTTGGAAGGTCAGGATGCCCACCAGGGCCACCTCCACCATGCCCACTTTCCCTTCTGTGCCTGTACTTCCCTCGCTTTCTCCTTCCTTTTACAGCCATGTACAGAGCAGGAAGGAGTGAGTGCCCACATGACAGGGACTTGCGTTGGTGTCCCCAAGTCCCTTGTCTTTGAAACCTGTTTGTTTTGTGTAACTGATGACCTCATGCTTCTGATGACAAAAGTGACACATGTGAGTGTTGGCAAGTGCTCTATGGAGGACACTGTCCCCCACTAAAAGAGTAACTCCCATGACAATTTCAGGCTGAAGATAAGGCTATTTGAGATAAATTTACATTCCAGAATCCTTCATATCCCTCTCGTCTACTGCTGCAGCTCTGTTGCCCCTGAGAAGCAAACACATACATGATCAGGGGGAATACATACAGACACCCCACTCAGACCAGGTTGCGTCTCAGTGGTGTTTTAAGCACTCTGTCCTTCCACTAGGATGTGCATGTAAGAAGTGCTCTCCAATAGGAAATGCCAGAGGCTGCTGTGTTCAGACCAACTTAGGTGACACTCAGCCCTATATTCTCAGTTTGCTACTCCCTGGGCACCTATGCAGTATAAAATTATTGGAATACATACCCTGGGTGCCACTTTAGTTTCAATCCAAGTAAGACCATTTTTCTTCACTTTTTTTTTTTTTTTTTTTTTTTTTTCCCTGTACTGGGGATTGAACTCACAACCAGTGCTTGCCAGGCAGGCACTTACACCACCAAGCTAAATCCCCAGCGCTTTCTTCACTCTTGAAGGTTTAACATGCAGTAGGATTCTTGTCTTGTTTGTTGGTCCCAACACACATTCTGCCTTTATGAGACACTTGGCTTTCCATGTAATGTTAACCACCTGGTTTTTCTATGCCTTTTGGGTTTTTACTTGTTCATTCTGTGAGTAAGTTAACGTCGACTGAAAACTGATACCTCTAAATTAATATTTAGCTCTTGCCATATCAAAGTGGGTATCTATTCTGCAATTAAAAACTCTAAGAGCTTCATGATTATCCCTTGCTGGCGTGCTACCCCCAGGGTTACTGATTTCATCCTCCAAGAAATACACGTTTCCTTTTGTTTTGTTGTCATTAATTCAGGTGATTCCCTTATACATCTGTAGTTGAAAACCATAGCTTAGAGTCCTGCCGAGGAACTGGTACATCTGGTGCTGGGGCAGTGCTTCTCAGCCAGCTGACTTTGAACCCCAGGAGGTGGCTACCTGGTGGTGTTCAGTTTGGTGCCACTGCCAGGCAGGAATGCTGCAGACTTCTTGTGGGCGGGGCCAAGGGAGCTGCTGATGTCTATGGGATGCAACGGACAGACCCTTCCCGTGCCGTGCCGTGGCCCAGGTGCAGTAGTGATGGACCAGAGTACCTCAGCCTGTTCAGGGTCCATTGCAGGCAGCTCCAGAGGAAAGGGCAGAGCCCCCTTAGAACACCCCTGAGCGCCCGCCTGCCTCCCCTGGGGATATGAGAGGACCATCGCCTTCCAATCACTTTATTTCCAAGCGGGCTATGATGCCTTCTCTTTCAATCAGTGCAGTAGGAAAGGATTCTTCCATACTGCTGGAAACATAAACCTTCTAGCTATACATCTAAAAGGTCAGATTACATTTGCCTCCTTGAGATCAGAAAAACAATTATATTGTAGTGCAGGAAATTGAAGGCTCTGCTTACCTGCTCTTCATTGTTCAATTCAACGTAGTTCTTAGAAGAAAATGGAAAAGTTAAGAATGGAAGGTTATAGCTAATGACAGTCACTTTCATTAGCCATTCTGTCTCTACCTAGATCTTTTTCTTATTTTACAATAAAACCAAATATCAGAGTAGGGACTAGGATTAGGATAAAGATCTGGGCTACATAGTAAGTGCAAAGCCAGCCTGAGCTACATAGTGAGACCCTGTCTCAAAAGAAAAAGACTTCCTGACTAATCTGTTTCTATCTTATAAGTGGTTTTTCTAAGTTCCCACCTGCTTGTGACTAGTACAAAACACTATACATAGGAAATTAAACAAACTTGCTTTTTCTTTCACACCCAGTGTTCCATATCATGTGTCAGCATTACAGGAACACAACGTGGGCATGAGCACACCCTTGCGCAGGATGCCAAGAGATAATAATAGGAAAGGCTAATAAATATATCTGTGCCTCAAGAGAGCCATATGGGTGGTTTTTATTGCTGTCTGGCTGACAAATTGCCCAAAATGACTCTTCTTCCTCACTCTGCACCAATTCAATAAACAGAAATAAACTCCAGGGCCCAGACTGAAATTATGGAAAAGGCAGATGCTGTACAGCATGGAGGTCCTGGAGCTCCCTGGGACTGGGACTAGGACAAGCCCACTGGGCTGGAGTGTCTCCGATCTTGCCTCGTTTGTGCACACGTGTCATCTGAACAGGTGTAGCTCTTCCTTGCGACATGAGAGTGTCTTCTTTCCCATTTCCTTTCCTCCCTGAGGATGTCCTCTCCAGTCAGTGATTCCCTGGGGCCACCATAGGGACTGAACAAATTGGCTGATACGAAGGTGGGGTCAGCTGGTTAACACAGATGCACTGTGCTGGCCCTTGCAGTGGAAGGTACAGCCCACGAGCCAGCATCGGTACCTTCTCGTGTGCCCATCTCCTCCTGGGCTGTATCCCACACACTCGGCACAGATGTCTGCTTGTGTTGGGGTCTGGCTTCTGTGTGGAATCCTAGACCCACCATAAGGGCAGAGGGTAAGAAACTGATTCTGATTTCAGCTTGAAATCTGAAAGGGTTTCTGAATCTTTAGAGCTACTGGTGACCCAGCCTGGTAACATGCTTCTTAAAAGAAATGGTCAGTTTTCATCATAGACTGGAAACAAGCAAATTATCCTATCTGCATGTCCCCTTGAGGCACAGGGACATGATCTATTTTAAAAATATGTCATACAATGCATTTTCACTGGGAAAAAGCAGATAATGTGCAGTTACCTACCAGCATGAATGTCAAATGCATTATAATATTTTAAAGGGAGTGGCTCTCGATTACAGTTCTAAGAGGGGTCTTGGAGCTTGTTTGCACTAGCTGGACTGGCACAGGATGAGACTAAAGAGTCAGTTGGGATAGTTTGTCAGCTAAAACCCCAACAGGGCATACAGAAAGGTGGGGCATGAGGTCAACAGACTAGAGTTTCCTGTGTCTACATTATTCTTTGTGACTGTAAATTCTTGATGCTTACTAGGCCATATTCTCAGAAAAGTCCTTTTGCTAAGTTTTATTAACTACTTAGGCATGGCATATAGACTTATACAAATCAGGATTTCAGTCTCATCTCCACATACTCTAGATCTAAAGCTGCTTGAATTTCTCAACTTCTATTTGACTACAAACAAGAATACAATTATCACTTTCTGAGGTTTTAAGAAAATTCATATACAGGTAATGATGATTCTAGAAGATTGCGAAAGCCTGCAGGAGAAGGTTGGCTGTCTTGCTTTCAGAGCAGCATTCAGGAGGAAGTCTTTTCCCCTATGCCTCCGCCCTCCCACATCGCTCACATTTAGCATGCTGTGAGACATGGATATTGCTTTCCAGCTCCACTGTGCATCGTTTCAGGAACAGAGAAATGAGGCAAAGGAATCTCCAATTCCGAGAGGCCGCTGTCCTGCTGTCCTTTCCTGTCACATCTTCGGTGCATCTCCCACAGCTCCCTTCTTCCTTAACCCATTCATAGGCCGGTGGATGTGCGCCACACTGCAGCTAAGACTCAGAACCCGCAGGAGGGTAGGGGCCTCTTCCCAGACGTGATGCTTCCACTGCTGACAGGCGGAGTCCCAGAACCTGACTGCGTTCCATGAGCACCAGTGTGAGTGGAGCGAGCACCTCATGAAGGAGCACTGCCGAAGATATGAAGAGCAGCACAGGCAGGCTCATCTTCAAAAGCCCCAGGTCTAGGGTTGCAGGAAGCACCCCCCAGGAGTTGCAGCATGACACACCCTCGTGGACAGTGACCGAGGAGATGAGTCTTCAGACTGCTGGTAATTGAAGGTCTACCACAGAGGCAACACCTGAGCTGGATCCTGAAACAATACTAGAAATGTGCCAGGGTGAGACTGAGGAAGAAGATCCCGTGAGGATGCAGGAGCACTAGGGCCTGTAGCAGGCTCTAGGAGGAGTACATGTCCTGGGTCTCATCTGTAGTGAATGCAGGGACTTCCCTCTCATGCAGAGAATTTGCCCCTCAGTTATAGTGCAAAGCATGGTTCATCTACATGCTGAACAGCAGGATGTCTACTTAAGGGAAAAAAGTTTGTGGAGTTTAGTATTTCACCTGTGCCACCGCTTTGGAAGCCACTGGTCAGAGCAAGGCTCCACAGAGGAAGTGGCAGCCCATGACACCAGAGGTGGCCAGCGAGTAGCTCTCATTCCTACCCCTTTCCACAAGAGTAAGGCCCTTGGGAGTCACCAGGGCCAGGAGCAGGGTGTGGCCAGCTTTCCTGTCTTGCTGATTCTGCTTCAGTCTCTTACCGTGTCCCTTCCCAAACTCTTCACGTCAAATAACCATCATGACTCCTCTCAGAAAACTGTTTTCCCAAAAATGTTTCTGGAAGGAAATACAACAGAAGCTCAGAACAGCAGCCCATATTTTGTGTGTGAAACAAAGAAGGTTTTGCCTTATTTTGTTTTATTTTGAAATTTATTTTCTTTTATCTTGCTTTCTGTATTTTTCAGTTTTTAAAATAAGCGTGTAAAATGAAGTAAAAGTGTACACTA